CAAGCTAGGGGGAAAAGAGGCATAAAGGGTAGTGTTTTTGTTCTGCATTTCTGTCTTACTAGTACTTTGGAAGACCTTAAAGCAAAGAAAAAATCTTTTCATCTTTGTGTCCCTAGTACTTAGCACACTGCCAGGCACACAATTATGACAATAATAACAATAATGGCTAACATTAATTGAGCACTTTATATGTGCTTGGCACTTCTTCCTGCAACAGTAGGTGAATGAATGAATTTCTTGGTCACCAACCTCACAGAGATCAGAGTCTGGTAGTGAGAAAGGCTGATATACAGGCTAATGCAGAATAAAGGCCAAATCAGTTGCCCTGTCCTATTCCTATGCCTTGAAATCTTAGCAAAGCTTTCCTCTGAGTCCATAAATGTGTCAGGTTTCTTCAAACTCATTTAGAATACTTCCTTCCATTACTTACAACCCACTTCCTCCACTTGGTGCCTGAAAACAATTTCTGGGATATCACCACAAGCAATATTAAACTGCCACACAGTTTCCTGCTGTGTGTCAGCACTATCAGTTAAATTGTTTCATATCAACCACATTCTAGTCCACCGGGATCACTCAAAAACTAAATAAGATTTAAACATACCTGTCAAAGATCGCCAGTTATCACTGCTCCTTTTATCACTCTAGATGAACAAGTGCTCAAGTTTAAGGTTTAGGAGCTTTCCAGGGTGCTACCTGCATCCTGGTGATTTGTTCTTTCCTCTGTCAATTACATTTGGTTTGAGGCAAGGCCATGTTCCTTTATTAAAATGAACGTGGACAAAACTTTCCTTAGTAAAGAGCTGCCTGCCTAAAGCATAGCAATTTGGTTTAAAAACATATGTTTTATGAAACATAAAAACTCTTCCTCCTTAAGAGTTCAAATAACCGAGTTGTTCTTTGAACGCCATGTACCCACAAGTCAGAGAACTGTCTTGGTTACGATTCTAATGCAGATCCTAATGTATTTCTTAAATTCATTCCACAAACTTCCTAAACAATCATGTGCCAGGTATTGGGGTGACACAGGAAGTTCAAATAAAAATAAGACTACCCCTACTCTCGAGAAGTTTATGTCAGGCTAAATATAACAGATAGACAAGGAACTGAACTTTGTGCTATGACAGTGATAAACATAAGGGGCCAGAGAGACACAAACAAGGGGCACCTGACCCAGGCAGGGGGAAGGTGGTGGGAGGTGGGAACCTGGCATCAGGGCAGACTTCTTGGGGACAGCATCTGATCTAAGGCCTATAAACTCTCCCATTCTCCCAATTGCAAAATGTGGTTAATAAACAGTAGTACCTACATCATTGGGTAGTTGTGAGGATTTGATGATATGTTTCACATAAAGCATTCCCATGGTGCCTGACAGAGATTGTGTTCAACCACTTTAGCTTGAAAGGAAAGTTTGATCAAGCACTAAATCTCAGTACCTGTGCCTAGCAACTCAAATGCTTTACTACTCAATCATCCAACACACATCAGCTTCACAATTACACACAGTATTGTTTTCAATCAGTTTTTATTTCTTAATAATGAGATAATATTAAGTCTTGCTTTGTACATTAACAGTCTAATTCCTTGAACATCAAAACGGTTTTCTCCACCATCTAAGGTACACCTATTGGTCTCTTTCCATCCATAGCAAAGGAGAATGAAGAAACCAAAGACTCGAGGAAGCAATTAGTCCAAAGGACTAATGGACCACAGGAACCACAGCCTCTACTAGCCTGAGACCAGAAGAACTAGATGGTGCCTGGCTACCACTGCTAACCACTCTGATCAGGATCACAACAGAAGGTCTCAATTAGAGTGGGGAAAAAATGTAGAACAAAATTCAAATTCATAAGAAAGACTAGACTTACTGGTCAGAGAGAGAGTAGAGGAACCCCCGAGAATGTGGTCCTTAGATACCCTTCTAACTTGGAACTGAAGGCACTCCTAGAGATCACCTTTCAGCTGAATAATAGACCAATCAGCCAAACCCGTTGCCACTGAGTCGATTCCAACTCATAACGACCCTACAGGATAGAGTAGAACTGCCCCAAAGGGTTTCCAAGGAGCAGCTGGTGGATTCGAACTGCTGACCTTTTGGTTAGCAGCTGAGCTCTTAACCACTGTGCCACCAGTGCTCCAAATAATAGACAGGCCTATAAAATAAACAATAACACCTGTGAGGAAAGTGCTCCGTAGAACAATCATCTATGAGATCAAAAGGGTAACATTCAGCTGAAAAAGATGAGAAGGCAGGAAAACTGGACGAATAGAAATGGGGAACTCAGGGTGGTAATGGGGAGAGTGCTGATACGTTGTGGGACTGCAACTAATGTCACTGAACTATCTGTGTATAAATTGAACGGGAAACTAATTCGCTCTGTAAACCTTCACCTAAAGCACAATTAAAAAAAAAGAATTTTCTTCTCCATTAACTAAAATATGCCTTTCTCTGACATTTCTGGTATAAAATATACCACGCTGGACTAGGCGTGGTATATTTCGATAAAGAAAAAGTGTAAATCTTTTGATAAAGAAAAGTGTAAAAGAAAACTAACAATTACTGAGTTTTTAAAATGGATCCAGCATTCATGTTAGTACTGTTTACTCCTAAAAATGAACAAGCAACATGGGTATAGTCTGCCTGCCGGGGAAACTGAGGCTGAAAGATGTTATCTATGCAAAGTTTCGGTTAGTGGACAACAGAACCCAGGTCTGATTTCTAAGTTTGAGTTCATTCCACCACACCGTCAGTCTGACTCAGCCACACAGCATCAGAGAGAACACAGGCAGCCATAATGCTTTCCTGCTCATAGGGGCCCCAGAGTGCTCTGTCCCCCTCTCTCCAAGACTGTCTTAAATAATAAAGCCAGTACACTTAGATTTCACCTCGGCCAGGTAAATAAATTCCTTGGGGTGAAGTCTGTTCTGTCCTGTCAGGATGGAATGGTTAGTAGTAACCAAAGATCTATTTTCTCTAACAACTAGGGTGGCTGCTGAGTAGATGGTTCCCTCACCACCCATCCATCCCATTCCTAGATGTAGTCAGAAGTTACATAAACCATGGTCATCATAAAACTCAACTACTTTTCATAACTTCTGTCTTCATATTCTCTTTCAGTCTCACAAGACAACGTATTTCCCAAGTCTAAGTTTTTATCACAGAGCAGTCTGGTTTCAAGATCAAAGGGGCTATTCTTTATACTAATTTCACGCTTAATACAAATTTCATGCCTTGGTTCCCTTGTCCAAGTGCTCAGATATTACATCGATGAGTTCCACAAAACACACTTGAGAAATGTGTGCGTCAACCTGCTACGTTCAAGAGCAAGAGAGGAACTTGATGCCTAGTCATCTGAACTTCTACTTGCTAGATTTTAATGCTGATTCTGACACTGACTGCCTCATGTCAGGCAAGATTCTGAATTTCTCTGTAACAAGAAGGGTAAGCATCCTTACAAGCATACTCTGGGACTCTAGGGTGGCTTCTGGAAAGTATTTCTAAGTGCTATTGAAATCCAAGTTTACAACTCTTACTTGGAAGCAGCAGCTAAACATGGAGTGCCTCTTTAATCCCAGGGCTTCACAAACTAGTCTTTTTACCTCCCAAGCCTCTTAAGCTCTTGTTTGGAGTATGCTTCTAACTATTTTCCCTCATTTCCACGAAAATGAAGAATTAACAGCATGTTCATTCAACTTACCCATTTTCATTATCATAAGCAAACTTTTCTAGTTCTGTTTAGCAAATGTCTCAGGGCTGCTGCAGCACATATTAGTCACATTTCGTAAGTGGGAAGTCTAAATCACACAGACTACTGCAAAGCTGGGCAAGGGTCACACTGAATGGGCAGCACCCGGACATGAGATGCAATGTTCCAATAATTATGAGATTTGCCCTGAAGTCTCTTCCCCTTTGAAACCTCCCCAGATGCAATTCTCAATATGCTGAAATAAACACATTCCACAGACTTCCCTGTAAGAGGGTTTAAAGTATCTTATGAAAGCTGTTTTAAGGAAAAACCTATGCTGTCAACTTTGTTTTTAAATGCCCTTAAACAATTCTATTAGTCATAGAGAAAACTGAACATTTGCTAGTGATTAGAGATAAAGCATCTCATGTGCTGGGGCTGAGGAAGGGAGAGGCCAGGAAAGGACCTAGCTGGGAGGGGAGATAGAGTCCAAAGCAACACACCCACATTGGATCGCATGAAAGTTGCACTTTCCAAAGTCTACTTCAAGTCTAGAAGGAGGGCAACAATGTTTCAACGTATTCTGAAGTTGGCTGTATAAAGAATTTCCCAGAAAACTAACCCCCCACCAGGGACTCCAGATGAATGAATGAGGGAATGTGCAAGATTGGATTACAAAACCTTACCAAAGATTATCAAAATCAGGTGCTCAGTTACAGCACAGAGGTATCGTCCTTCATAGCCTTTGGCCCTTGCTGAGTGGAGACGTTCACAGATAAGAGACGAACTAAAAGAGCGAGTGAGACAGGACCTTCCTCCTCAGGCCATCCAGACTTAACCCCAAGAGTAGCCCCTCCCTCTAAGAACCTCACACGACTTTTTTGGGGGCCATAGGCCTCATATAGCCAGGCTGCAACCTGCGAGGACCCGCCAACTCTCAGGGGCGCCCCAAACACACCCATCTGGGGAGTTGCTTCCTGAGATTTCCTCTCTTCCTCCCCTCAAGAGTTCTATGACCATTTTCACGGGCTTCTGCAAACCTGGAGTGGGAGCCACCTTGTAATCTCAACAGTTCCCGCCTTCAGGTGAGGAGGCGACACCTGACCACCAGCGCCCTCCCACCCCCACGCGCACCCCGCCCCCGCGCCTCCCTGGATCTCCATGGCAACCGTCCCCCACCCCGCGTGACGCTGGCACGCGGGGCGCCCCTCCGGTCCGGGCAACAAGTCCCCTGCGCGGCCCGCGGCCTGCAGCCCTGGCCCGGCCTCGCCGCCCCGCGCCCGGCCCGGCTCCGCCCGGCCCAGCCGCACTCACTTGATCCTGGAGCCCATGGTCCCCGGGCCTCCTCATGGGCCCGCGGGCCCCGCTCGGCGCTGCGCTGCCCGCCCGCCCGCGGTCGTTCGGCCTCCCTCTGGCGCTCTCCCCGCCCCTTCCTCCCTTCCCTCAGGCTCGGGCCCGCCCGCTCGAGGTTCGCTCCCTCGTCGCCGCCGCCGCTGCCGCCGCCTCCCGGGGCTA